GTTTTTTTCAATAAGTTTGATCAGGAAGTTATTTGGATCAACAAATTGTGCAATGAGTAATTTAATGATACTTTTTTAACAACGCCAACGCAATGTAATCGGCATGGTTATCAAAATATTATCACATTTTTCATATAACAAAATAAATGAAAGAAAATTTACCCAATAAAATAATTAAATTAGTAATCAAAATTTCGACGAACAAGAAGTTCAGCATGGATTGAAGTAGCGCTGATTACAGATTCACGAGAAACAATTGATTCCAAACTTTCAATTCTAGTTATTGAATTTGAATCAATAGTAGGTTCCGAAATATCTTCTTCTACATTAATTTTTATTACTGGATGATGGCAACTTTGTTCATGACTTAAGTATTGCTCATCTTCTTGATGTTGATAATCATCAAAATGATATTCACCAGCATTCCGAACATTTGGTTGTGAAAAGTTATGACCCACTGAAATATTTAAACACTTTTCTGTATTTGTATCACCTCTAATAATCAATTCATTATCGTTTGAAATAATAATAGAATTTTCTAGCTGTATATTTTTTGGGCTTTGTGTTAAACTTGATTCATGAATTTCTTCTATTCTGAATGAATTTGATTTATGAGAGTTAGCAAAAGTATTCACTTCTGACTCATTACGTTTACTTGTGAGTCGTTCATTAGAATCACAAATTTCCTCACAAGAATGATCACTGAAGTCTTCAATTGATGATTCATTAGAATTCCTTCGAATAGCTGCCAACGAAGCTAAATTGAAAGTTGGTAATAAATCAGTTTTTAGATTTTCTTCCGAAGACGGAGTTGAAGGTGAAGAATAGGATGATTCTTCAGTTTCATATACTTTTTGATACCACTCATCAGAATTTTTAGAATCATTAATTTCAATTTCTAGCTCTTCTAAATTCTCATCATTTGCATTCCATACACTTCGCCTTCTACGTAATTGACGTCGTGGTAGAAAAATACCATAACTAAGATTATTTGCTTCTTCGTCATCACTTGATTCATTTTCAGTATTATTTAATGGTAATCCACGAAAATGCGTTCGTCGTCTTCCTTCAATTTCATTTACAATAACATGATTGGCGAATGTAACACTTTTATGAGAATGTCTACTACTTGATTCGCTCAGTGAAGAATCTGCTCCTCGAGTAGATGATATCAGTAATGATTTAAAATTTTGATTACTTACTTCATTTTCTGCCACATCATCATCTGAAATCGACGTAAAACTGGCTAACGTTTGTTCAGATACAATTGTAGGAATTTGAAGTGTATCATTTGTTTCTCCATCAGTAATCAGAGATTCTGTCACTGAATTCAGTTCATGTGCATTATTTTGTTCGCTTTCAGTATTTCCTTCCAATACTGTCAAAGTCTTAGTTTGTTTATTATATTCACAATTTTTATTGTTGGATGTAGGAATTTTGCTATTAAAACCATATTTATTGGAATTTAATCGTAGTGTGTTTGAGGATGACGAAGATGATGGTGATTTAGTTATAAGGTTCTGATTTTGATTTGAATTTGTGAATGACAAGGAATTGAATTGCTTTTTTGATGCGTCAGCATACATTCGATTAGCAATTGCTTGCTTAAGTAACGGTGAACCATTCTGACGTTTATTTTGTGATAATATTCTTCGTGTTGTTTCTGCTTCGCAAATATTACTTTTTTCAGTGATAGCAGCAGAATTAGTTTTTAAAGTATTTACACGTAGAATAGTTGTCGCTTTATCGCTTGTCTCATCTAAAAGACGCTTTGTGGCAATGTTGAAAGAATTTGTGGTGCTTACTGTAGAAACCTGTGGTTATATTTATTTATTTATTAAGAATATATTTGTATTAATTATAGTACACTTACCCAATTTTGACTGGTTCTGATGAACTTCTGTCTTTGACGCTTGTGCTTGCGATACTGAACTTATCTCCGATCCGAGTGGCGATGCTTCCCGTGTACTCAAATATTTATCAATATATCAGTAATTTTTTTCATATTAATTACTATAAATTTATCATGATTCTTCTGTCAAGATTATTACTACTATTATGATTATTATTATCAGTGATATTATCATCTCATTATTACTCATAATTCTATTATCATTTTGCTTAAAAAACTCGTCATATTGTCCAGAAAAAACAAATACAACAGCTGCTATTTCAATAATTTTTCTGTCATATACAAAATGGAATCATTATCATATAAAGTAAAAGAATTGAAATTGTGCCTTCAAAAGTAAGACAATGACAATAAAATAAAATAAAAAAACAGGGTAAAAAAGCAAAATAAGCTTTCACTAGCTTTCAAGGCTACTGTACGTTATTTAAGCTTTATTCCTTATATCTACATGAAGCAGAAAACTGCTATATTTAAACTTTGAATAAATCGTATTTGTAAGTAAGTTATATGGTAAATTTCTGAAAAAACAATAGAATAAATTATGTAAAACTGCTTGATCGTGTTTTAGAATAAATAAAAGATGAAGTAATATAACTGTTATACCTTCGATGACGATGAGCTTGAAGGCCAGCGGTGGAGGTGGTGCTCGGGATTGAACTTTGTCGCGGTGTACTGTGCTGATGGCTGGCACTGGTGCTCAGAGTATCGGGATCTGGAAACATTCCTCGGACCCATTCGGGGTACTTGTACAGGCAGCACGGGCGAATACGACGTGGTGGTACTGCAGCTTCTACTCTGAATGAATATATTTTTTTTTATAATGAGCAAGTTTTTCACGTCCAATTTTTGGGAACAATTTATTTCTAGCAAAACAAAAATAAATGCTATTAAAGTGCGTAATCCTGAAAGCTTTTGCAAATTTGTAAGCATTATTTTAAAGCAGTCAAGTAGCACAGATAACTTTATTTTAAGAAGTTTATGATGCAAAGTATTCAGACATTAAAAATTTGAATATATATGCAATGAGAAAGACTTGAATCTCAATTATGATGCTTTCATAAAGAGTAGAAGTGATATGAAAAGCATAGTTTTTATATATCTCAAAGCAAGCAACAAACGCATAATTGAGTTTCACATCAAGCTTGAAGTTATATCCTTAAGCATAACAAATATTATTAATAATAATTATAATAATTAGTTTTCAGTCTAAAATATTCTATTTTTGGTTCAAAATATTATTTTTAGTCTTAATAGTTTGTTAAGCAAAAGTAAAAAATTTACTTAGAAATACCAGTTTGCGCTGTTATTTTGCATTATTAATAAATGCAAAAAGATCACATCCATTATTGATTCCTTAATAAATAAATAAATAAATAAATAATATGCTCCATAACTTTTAAATAATTGATGTCGTTCGATTCGACCTACTTAATACTATTAGAAGCGAAAGAGAATCGAAGGCAGGAAGCAAAGTTTGCTTGCAAAGCAAAAGTAAAATTAACATAAAAGTAATACATTTTATTCCATCATAAAATGCATTGCAAAATAACCATAGATAGCAAACGAAGAACAATATGACATGATAGTTTGGCTTATTATTTACTTAATTACTTTCTTTCTTACTTTTTTTAATGGATGATAATTTCTGGCAATGTAATAATTTTGCAAGCAAAAAAGAAGTATTAAAATGAAAGGAATAAAATAAATGCTTGCATTTACAACCAAAAATTAACCACATAAAACCATAATATTTTCGGAGCAAAATTTTGCAAGCATATGACATAGCAGTAGTAGTAGAAGAAATTGTGCAGAATACGATGATTCGGAGCGGTGCTTCACAATTTGCTGATTCTGTATGTGATGCTGTTAGCTGGAATGCATTTTATTCAGTCTGAAATGAAATTACAGGCAAAACTCGCTTTTTCTCTTTGTTAATTAATAAATGCTTAAATAGGTAATGAAAAATGAACAATTTTTGAATAAATCTTTTCGTTATCATTCAAGCTGTAACGATTTCTATCAGTTCACTAATATTTGCATTGTTTTCTACTTCTAATATTCATATTTAATTTCTGACTCATACATGGTTAAATGATCTGCGAAAAATAATTTAATTGCTGAGTTGAGTAAAGTATTTACTTGTACTTTCTGATTTTTAATTTTTGACTGATAAATAACTGATTAAATGAACTTTAAAAATGGACAAATTTGAATTTGTTTTTTCAATCACTAAAATAATAAACCAAGCATATCTACTACCTTCTGCGATAAAATTCGGAAAAACCACTTCTCTTTTGAAATACGCTTCTACAAGCATGCCTTTTAAAGTATGAATTTAAGTATAAAGCACACGTAATTGATTTAATAACTCAATGACGCACTAATTAGTAGACAATATTTAATCTAGTAATTGCATTTCTTCCTTGCCAGTGCTTTAGCAATACTTTCCAAGTCAATCTACTAACTGTTGGCAGATTTTAACTATCTAATGTTTCAAATCTACACAATCTGACTGAAATTCATGAAAGATATGAGTAATGAAGACTAATTACTAATGTGAAGTCATGCAGAAACAAAACTTCAGTTGAACGATATCTTCAGATCAGTCAGGAGTGAACTTAATTACTTTTTCATCTACCTTTCTCGAAAATGCTGCTGAAAAGTAAACTGAGAATGCAAATAAATGCTTTCAGGAATTTAATTTGCTATAATTCTCCATAATTCTATGAAAAAACAATTATGGAAGCAGAAAGCTGTCTGTCTGTCAAAGTGAATAAATTTAATACTCAAATATTCCCCTCAAATAACTTTTAAATTGCTTGAAATCTTTCAAATTAAACTCACTGATTGCACAAATTCAAAAAAACTCACAGTGAAATTACTTATAAAAAATGAAAGAATATGCAAAAATGAGAACTGAATGAGAAAATGGATTCCATGCACATTTCACTGAGTTTCGGAAAAAAATACTAGCAGTTTGAAGCGGATGCGTGACTTATTAGCCAATAGCTAGAATGATTAAGAAAAAAACGAAATGTATTCAGTGGTTTTCAGAAGGACCTGCTGAGAGTTTACTTCTAAACATAGCTTACACCTTCGGAGCAGCTGGCTGATGGAAGAATGACGATAACAAGTCGATAGGAAACGGAAAAATTATCGTTGAATTTTTCTCAGCACTGAAATTGAAAATTAGCATAGCTTTTAGTTATCTGAAGGATAAAATCAAGCAAGGCTAATCCTTTTTATTTTTTTGAAATTGCAATATTTTGACTTCCGAAATGTATTAGATCACTTTTACAGTTTTTTAACATTAAGCACTACAGCCGAATAAATTTATAAATCGAAGTTATAAGTCGAAAAATTCGGTAACTTTGTATACTGAACAATGTTATATCCGAATTTGCTTTTGAATTACTCCGCCTTTTTAAATACACTATAAAAAATTACTTCTTAATGTATAACACTCCAAGTATTTGCGTAAGAATTCATGCTATGAATAATAAATGGTTAGAAATGAATGAATGCAAATTTAAAACCTTATTGAATTTAAGGTTTGAAGATAGCGTAGTTGCAAAGCAGATGGCGATTCAGCGATCACTTCAGCAGCTTCCTTCAGCGCACGTGATGCTTTCTGCTCGCCTTCCGCTACAATAACCTGTAAGTCCACTCAAAGATGTGATAAGATTGTAAGGCTTACAAATAAAATTATGTACTGAAGAACGAGTATTACTTCAAAAAATTTACACGTAATATATTATGTTGAACAAAAAGCCTATATCTCTGCTGTACTGTTAAAAAATGGTACAAGCAAAATTGCCAAGCTAAGCATAGTTTAGAGATATTTGAAATAATATTTAATATTTGAAATAAATGCCTTTCATACGAAATTCAATCACACTGCTTTCATTGGATGTATTTTTGATTCAAAACTATTTTTATCCAAATAAATAGTATTTTTTTGCATGTTTTAATATAAAAAAGATAGCTTTGAAAAGAATTATAACTTTGAGGAATCGAATCTCTAAGCTTTTGAATTAAGTTTACTTCAGAAATTTTCAACAAACATTTATAGCTTGCAGTTAGAAAGCTATTTGCAATAGATTAAAAATTAAATAAATCTAGCAAATTTTAAATAACAAACTTTAGCTCGAGCTTCACGTGCAGCTTCTGCTTCTGCTGCCATAGCACGTTGAAGTTGAATTGGAAGTCGAACATCTTTAACTTCAACTCGTTCAACCTTTACTCCCCATGGTTCAGTAGCTTCATCGAGAGTAATCTAAAAACTATTTAATTCCTTTCTAGCATCTAAAAAATACTTTTAAGTATGTTTGTATTCCAAATTATAAACCTTGACTTACTTTACAAAAAGACGACTGTATTGTGTGCTTATTAATATATGCAAAAACAGTTGAACGATATCACTATAATTTTGTACAAATAAAAGTCATTTTAATTGTTACATATTTATACGAAGCCTAAAAGAATATCAGAAAAGTTGAGGTTTACTGATGACCTGACCTGCATCTGCAAAGAAATAGCTTCACGGTCAGAAAGCATTTCAGCTAGTGTTTTTGTTCCCAAAATATTCCTTAATGTAGTCTGAGCAAGTAGTTTCGTCGATCTGAATATGTTATTTTAATCCAACTTTATCAGTTATGTTCAAACTTAATCAGTTGCACTGACCTTTGCTTAATATTTGATCTTATAAATTAACTACAACTTACAAAATAGATGAGCGAAAGATCCATGTATGAGAAATACTATAACTTAAATTTATTTTTTTTAAAGCATTGCCATAACTTGTCTTCTTCTGATGAGTAATGTAAATAACTTGTTAATAAATGAAATCAAATATTTAGATGAACGAAAATTTTTGACACCAAATTTCTCCGACAGCTTAACAATGTAAAATTTGTTTATGCTAAATTTTTGCGAAATAAAAACTTTGAGATCAAAAAAACCGTTTCACAGTTTTTTACATAATTGCAAATTTAAAATTGTATTTAAATGCCCTTGGCTTGAACGAATTTTGTGAAAATTTGAATATATCTATTAAAAAAAATTTTTTCACGCCGATTTTTGCACATAATTGTTTAAAAAAATGTTTACAAAAGATTA